TTCCCCCCCCGGTGCGCCTGGAAGTGTGTCCCCCCGGAACCCGCACCCCGCACACTTGGTTCCCCCCTCATTTTGGTTCCCCCCCCTTGGGGTCCCCCCAAGCCCCATGGACCCCCCCCCTTGGTGCCCCACCCCCCGTCCTACCCGTGCCCGCAGCAGCCGCTCGCGCTCCGCCAGCGCCTCCCGCACCCGACGCTGCATCTCGGCCAGGTGGAGGCAGGCGCTGGGGGGGGAATAAATTGGGGGGGTCTGGGGGCGCATTTAGGGGGCGGAGGGGACTGGTTCTCACCTGTAGAACTCGGCGTCGAGCCCCCCGGGGGCAGCTGCAGGGCCAGGATGCCTGGGGGGTGCGGGGGGGACATGTTAGCACCGGGCATGAGCTCCCCTCGGCCGCCTGCAGTACCCCTTTTCCACCAGCAGGTGGCGGCAGAGGGGCGCCCTCGGGCGGCACCGGGCATGAGCTCCCCTCGGCCGCCTGCAGTACCCCTTTTCCACCAGCAGGTGGCGGCAGAGGGGCGCCCTCGGGCGTCACCGGGCATGAGCTCCCCTCGGCCGCCTGCATACCCCTTTTCCACCAGCAGGTGGCGGCAGAGGGCGCCCTCGGGCGTCACCGGGCATGAGCTCCCCTCGGCCGCCTGCAGGACTCTTTTCCACCAGCAGGTGGCGGCAGAGGGGCGCCCTCGGGCGTCACCGGGCATGAGCTCCCTCGGCCGCCTGCAGTACCCCTTTTCCACCAGCAGGTGGCGGCAGAGGGGCGCCCTCGGGCGTCACCGGGCATGAGCTCCCCTCGGCCGCCTGCAGTACCCCTTTTCCACCAGCAGGTGGCGGCAGAGGGGCGCCTTCGGGCGTCACCGGGCATGAGCTCCCCTCGGCCGCCTGCAGTACCCCTTTTCCACCAGCAGGTGGCGGCAGAGGGGCGCCCTCGGGCGTCACCGGGCATGAGCTCCCCTCGGCCGCCTGCAGTACCCCTTTTCCACCAGCAGGTGGCGGCAGAGGGGCGCCTCTGGCGTCACCGGGCATGAGCTCCCCTCGGCCGCCTGCAGTACCCCTTTTCCACCAGCAGGTGGCGGCAGAGGGGCGCCCTCGGGCGTCACCGGGCATGAGCTCCCCTCGGCCGCCTGCAGTACCCCTTTTCCACCAGCAGGTGGCGGCAGAGGGGCGCCCTCGGGCGTCACCGGGCATGAGCTCCCCTCGGCCGCCTGCAGTACCCCTTTTCCACCAGCAGGTGGCGGCAGAGGGGCGCCCTCGGGCGTCACCGGGCATGAGCTCCCCCGGCCGCCTGCAGTACCCCTTTTCCACCAGCAGGTGGCGGCCTAACCTAACCCTAACCTAACCCGAACCCCAACTCCAACCCAACCCTAACCCTAATGGCGTCCCCCCGGCAACCGCACCCCGCACACTTGGTTCCCCCCTCATTTTAGTTCCCCCCGGTGCGCCCCACAAAAGTGTCCCCCCAGAACCCGCACCCGCACACTTGGTTCCCCCCTCATTTTGGTTCCCCCAGCCGGTGCACCCCGCATATGCGTCCCCCCGGCAAACGCACCCCGCACACTTGGTTCCCCCCTCATTTTGGTCCCCCCCCCTTGGGTCCCCCAAGCCCCATGGACCCCTCCCCTTTGGCCCCCCCCCCCCGTCCTACAGTGCCCGCAGCAGCCGCTCGCGCTCCGCCAGCGCCTCCCGCGCCCGACGCTGCATCTCGGCCAGGTGGAGGCAGGCGCTGGGGGGGGAATAAATTGGGGGGGGTCAATTTGGGGGGGGTCTGGGGGCGCATTTAGGGGGCGAAGGGGACTGGTTCTCACCTGTAGAACTCGGCGTCGAGCCCCCCCGGGGGCAGCTGCAGGGCCAGGATGCCTGGGAGGGTGCGGGGGGGGACATGTCAGCACCCCCAGACCGAAACCCCAAAACCGCCGCCGTTGACCCCAAGGTGGCCGCTGGTGCACCGGTAGGGCCACCGGGCGCCCCGCGGGCCACTGGGAGCGGAAGACGGGCATGAAGCTGCTGGTGGACGGCGGCCACGCTAAAATGCTAGGTCAGCCGCGGTTGGGGCTCTGGGGGCACCCCATAGGGTCACAACCCCCCCAAAACCCCCCGGCCCCATAGAGACCCCCCCCAGCCACACAGATCCCACCCCAAACCCTGTAGGTGCTCCCCCAAACCCTACAGGCACCTTCTCCAGATGTTCCCCACAACCTCCAGCCCCACAAGTACCCCCCCTTGGCCCCATACAGCCCCCCCCGGCCCCATATGGCCCCCCACCTTGCAGGCCGCCGCCCGTGGTCGTAGTACACCTCCTCTATGGCCTGGAAGTAGAGGACGCCCTTCAGCTTCGTCTCCTCCTTGTCTGGGGGGGGCAGAGATAGGGGGGTCACCCATGGAACCACCTAACCCCCGACCACCCAACCCTGACCCCCAACCCTAACGGACCTAACCCTAACCCCAACCCCGACCCCCCAACCCTAACCCCTAACCCTAACAGATATAACCCCACCTTAACCCCCAACCCCTTACCCCCAACCCCCACCAGCATGCTCTGGGCACCAAACATGGCCTCCGGAAGCCCAGTGCCAGAAAACTACGCCTACCAGCATTCCCCAGGCAGCTGGCTTGACCAATCACAGGCCCAGCGTTCGAGAAATACATTACCAGCACTCACTGGAACCCAAGCACTTACTGCCCTTTCAAAATAGACTCAAGCCCTAACACTAAAAAACTTCGAAACCCCTACAGGCCTAATCCAAACTGTTTACCACACTAAACCCCTGAAGTCCTATGCCTAAAAGCCCTTAGGACACTTAGGACGCTCAAAACCCAAACCCAAAACAATAGGATTCTCAAAGCCCTAAACAACAAGATTAGGACAAGATTTCGGGTCCAAAGAAGGGCGACGAAGCTGGTGAGGGGCCTGGAGAGCAAGTCCTACGAGGAGCGGCTGAAGGAGCTGGGCTTGTTCAGCCTAGAGAAGAGGAGGCTCAGGGGTGACCTTATTGCTCTGTATAAGTACATTAAAGGAGGCTGTAGCGAGGTGGGGGTTGGCCTGTTCCTCCATGTGCCTGGTGACAGGACGAGGGGAAATGGGCTAAAGTTACGCCAGGGGAGTTTTAGGTTAGATGTTAGGAAGAATTTCTTTACTGAAAGGGTTGTGAGGCATTGGAACGGGCTGCCCAGGGAGGTGGTGGAGTCACCATCCCTGGAAGTCTTCAAAAGACGTTTAGATGTAGAGCTTAGGGATATGGTTTAGTGGGGACTGTTAGTTTTAGGTCAGAGGTTGGACTCGATGATCTTGAGGTCTCTTCCAACCTAGAAAATTCTGTGATTCTGTAGGACGCTTAAAGCCGTAACCCCAAAATTAAGATGCTCAAAACACAAAGCCAACCCAAAACACTAGGATGCTCAAAACCCTTACTCAAAACATCAGGACGCGCAAAACTCTAACCCAAAAATTCAGATGCTTAACACCCAAAGCCCTAACACAAAACATTAGGACGCTCAACACCGTAACCCAAAAAATTAGGACGCTCGAAACTCTAACCCTGGAGAACCTAACCTGAAAAAAAAAAAAAAAAGGATCTTAACACACTAACCCTAAATAACTGACCAAAAATAAAACCCTAGGACCCTAACCCTAAAAAACATAGCGACACTCCATCCCAAAAAGAACTCTAAAACCCTAACACGCTAACCCTGAAACCCTTAAAACCCTGTTAAAACTCCAACCCAGTTATACACCAGTTACCTCCCTTAAAGGATATAGAGGAGCTCTCTCAGATACGGCAGTCCTACTTCTCATGAATGCATCCTTTAGGTGAGGAGGGGGAGAAGTAAAGCAAAGAACAACTCACGGGTTGAGATAAGGATAATTTAATTAAATGGAAATAATTATAATAATTAAATAAAGACTACCATGAACTAAACAATTTAACTAAGGGGAAATAAAAAGGGAAAAAGGGGAAAAGGGAAAATAAAAAGAAGGGACGAAAACAAACAAACAAAATAAATGAAAGCTATATGGAAGTGCAGAGGAAAGAAATTGCTCTCTACTTCCCACAAATGAGCGATGATTGACCACGTCCTTGATGCAAGGCCTCAACGCACGCAGCCGGTGTTCCAGAGGAGGACCAACGTCTTCTCAACGAGAGCCCACCCCTCCCCTCTTCTTCCTGTTTCCACCTTTTATTGCTGAGTGTGACATCCCATGGTATGGAATATCCCTTTGGTTGGTTTAGGTCAGCTGCCCTAGTGATGTTTCTCTCCTCGCTTTTTGCCCATCCCCTAGGAGGGTTAGAGAAAGGCCCAATGCTGTGCCACTGCTGCTCAGCAGTAGACACAACACTGGTGTGATAACACTGCTGTTCCAGCTACAACTGCAGAGTACGGCACTGTATGGGCTGCTGCTGGGAAAGTTAACATTCCAGCCAGACCCAGTACACCACCGGAGGTGGATTGTTACGATATGGAGACGGTAGGTTATCCAACGGCTCCCGTTTATTATCTTTTTATTTTTCCTGTTCTTCTTCTTCTTCAAAATTTCTTACCTGCTTTTAGTGTAAATATTAAGGCCGTAAAAGGACATGAAGTCATCCTGATCCATAATCCTGCATAATCACTTTCTCCCCGGCAAAAAGGTTCCTTCGAATTAACATGTGTATTTAAGGCCTGACAAATACAGTCTTCAAAGGATCCAAAAACGGGCCGAAAGACATGCGGTCTTAAAGGCTCCTTTGGCCATTCTATCACACAAGACTGAACCATGTTTTATTTACTTTTTACGTTACTGGGGCCTCTCTCCTTCCAGTTTCTAACTGTTATTCCTAATGGACTTTCTGGTGGTATGTCTGGTAATTTGCTCCCTTTCTTCTGGTCCCTGGTCTTCGGTTTTGTCTCACCCATCTAGGAATGTTACTCTGGCAATTCCCACAGCCCTTGGTTACCTTAATAAGAGTGTCTTAAAGAGGATTTAAGATCTATCACCCACCCACAAATTCTTTGGGAATCCCTTGGTCCTTCACCGGCCAAGTCCCTCGCGGGACATTGGAACCGTGGTAAAGAAGACCTCCACAATCGCTTCGGAACTAAATTCCGTCTCAGTCACACTCTTACACACACAGGCAACCAAAACCCATCCAACAGAACAGTATACGCTTTAAACACTTACGACTCCATTGTCTTCATTCAGATCTTCACACGCAGAATTACGAGCAAAATATAGTGCTGCAGCCAGCAAGGGAGCTGAAAAAAAATCAAAACCTTAGCTTACCTGTATTCAGGTTCGAGATGCCATTAGTCCCGACCAGACTTGAACAGCAGCCACCAAATGCTGGGGCGCCTCTCCTAGATCAAATAAGAATTCAGGAACCAAAGCCCTCCTGGACAAGCCCCCTGGTGTCATACATGACTGGGTCCCAAACTGGATTGCAATTAAATTTTACAATTTTTTAAATAAATAGAGGTAAACGAGAAGTTGCTCGCAAACACATATACTGTGCCAGATGCCCTTCAGCAAGTGCCCAGAGGCAGACCGGATGTCTTCACCAACACAGTCCAGACAATGTATTAGTACACCCATGCACTGCCACATTAATCACTAACTGCCAGGCAGGACAGCTCCAGACCAAACACGTACACACACAGGCACGCCACAAACACTACAAACAAAACACACAACACAAGGCGCAAGAAAAAGTGACCCCCAAAAAGAAAGCCCTACAGCAACAGCAAGACAGAACAGGTGCTCTGCACCAGACCCCAGGAGAGACTCAAATGTCACAACATGCAACTGGAAGCAACTGCCAGAACTGGGATGGTGGAGGCCTAAAAAGCCTGCCTTCAAGACAAGAGACCAGAAGGATGGGGACTGAAAACCCCCTAAGAAGACACTTAGGAAATCAATTCCCAAGCAAGAGCTCCTGATGCGGCCCAGATGACTTCTGCAAGAGTGAGGATGGAAACAGACGCGATCTCGAACCGAATATGATGCACAAGACCTGAAACAGATCTGCATTTCAAGCAGCGACTTAAAGACAAAAAGCGCTCGCATCAGCCCTACGATGACGAAACAAGCATTTAGGGCCTTTGGTGTATCTACAAAGTTGCACGTCTTGTCTGTCCAGTGGAAGAAGGCAATGAGAATATCAAGACCTGAGGAACACGTAACATATGATGATCATATCAGGACATGTTTGATACAAAAACTATTAATCGCATAGTAGAAGTGATCCCCTTAAGCTCCCACTGCCAACACAAGCGTTGCTCAGCTCCCAGTTCAACATCAGCATTATTCTGAGGAGGTCAAGTGTTCAATACCTTTGGGATGGCTTCCCCAGGGCCTGCCGGGCACCAAGAGCAACAGCACAGTACAGCACAGACAACACAGATGACAAGCTGGGGACTGCCTGACTGGCACGCGCTCACACTGTACATGACAGAACTCCCCACACATAATCTCTCTGCCTGACCTGATCAATCCTGAAAGGCCCCATCCAAAGCAATGACTTAAAAGCACAAACCCTCGCCCTATGGGTGCATTCACAACCCCAACTCAAACATAGCATTTGCCCACCCCTCCCCGACCCTCCCCAACTTAGCTTGGGAATGCTGGGAGGCAGGTTCATCCTCACCAAGGAAGGCTCACAAAGGCTAGCCAGGACATTGCTTCAGGCACAAGGCTCCTCTTCACCTGCAGAAATGAAGGTGCCATCAGGCGCCAGCACACTAGCCAAATTCCTTCCAGTGAAACAACCTCCTCAGAAACAAAACAGTAATCAACTGACCTGCTCTGCTAATGAAATCAGATAGACACCCTTTTAAACAACTCCCCACTTCCCTCTGCCAACCACTCCACAACACCACAGTATTTCCACCCTGGACTTAATTCTCAGGGCTCAGAATCCACTATCAATGTGCACCACAGAGGCCAGCTAGGATGTTCCCAGGACCTCTTCGTCCCTGCAAAAGAGGAGTCACCCAGAGGTGCACCAAGAGACTACTACAGCAAAAACAATACCCGTTTTCCAAATTTTCTCCACTCACCTTCCCGATCCAGGCTTAGCGCTTCCATTTCACTGTGCTGAGCCAAGGTCACGGGGCTTAGTCCAAGAAGAACAGAAACGTGACAATCCACAAAACAGTCTATACCCACTCCTTTCGTCCCCTACTGCAACAGCCAAGAAGCCCCAGAGCCACGTGGCCGAACCCAGTACCACCGCTTCACTCACCTAACATCCCCAGGAGATGCATCATGCTCCCAGCTCCTCTTGTGCTCCGAGCATCTCCAGCATTTCAGGAACTGGAACCGCTGACGTCTGGCATGTCTCAGAAACGTGGCAGGAGACGTACTCTGCTGTCACAAGGCACTTGCAAAGCCCAGCCTGACAGGTGAAGCAGAATAACACAGTCCACCGACCAACTCGGGGCCCCCACTGCTGTCCACTCACCCTCATGCTTCGTTCAAGTTTCCGTGCCTATGCCTTGCGTTCCTACAAGAAACAAAGAGAGAAGGTCACAACCACAATGGATATGCAAACAGTGCAGCTCCTAGCAGAGGATTCAAACACAGAGACCAGAGCAGACAAATAAAAAAAAAACCTCAAGTCCACAAATGCCAAAAGGCCATGAATGCATAGCAGCCCCGGCATGGGTAATGACAGACATACCCTTTGCAGATGAAAAACGTGACCCTGCTCAGTCTCTTGGTAATACTGCCACCAACACAGTCAAGCCTCTTCTAGCATGTAATCAAGCGGGTTTTAGTCCTCTGGAGAGTTACACAAGTGGGTTGATTCATCTAGAGATTAAAATACAGATCAAAACAAAAGCATAACCCACATACCAAAAAACAGTGAGCCAGCAACCTCTACTAAATATCCCTATATTAAGTGAATTCCAAGCACTTAGAATTCCAGAAACCCATAGACTCCAGCCTGCTAGAGAACCCTGCAACTGACTGAAGGAAAACAAAGCACTGCCCCAAAGAGCAGCCCAGGCAGAAGGAGCTCTCTCATGGCATACTTGGGGCTCATATACCTTTTGTCCCACCCAGCACCCAAACCCAACCACCTGGGAAAGGGGAGGGGCAAAGCACAAGAAAGTAGAAAAAGGAGGAGCAGCAGCCGTGTGGTTTTATTTACTTATTTATAAGGCTTAGCTCAACAGCATGCAGAGTGCAGACAAGAGAACTGGGGTGTTTCAGAAGCAACAATCCCCCATGCTTTCGCTGCCAGCTTTGAATACTGAAAGGACACTACAACCAAGCAAGTAACTGAAGCTTTTTCAGCTGGAATTAGCTCAAAACTTTTATTTACACAGAAAGAAAGATCTAGGAGCAGAACAGATTATACACCAAAATCAATTCCGTTCCACTCACAGGAAAAAATCACTTACTTCAGTAGGCTATCAGAACCAAAAGGCTATGCTGATGGGTCAAAACACACTACAGGACACTGAGGCCAGGCCCTCCGCTGCACCGAATTAAAACCCATCCCTACACTCACCAAGGTACAACGCCAACCCAAACACAGACGCAGCATTTCAGCCTCAACACAGTTTTCAGAACTGCTGGAAAGCAGGCTTCATCCTCAGCAAGGCATGCTCAGGCTGCACAGGAGGGGGCTTTGGGCACCTCTCGCCTACCAAAGAAGACCATCAGCAGCAGCTGCTTTGTTCCGATTCTAAACACTAACATCACAGCCCACATTGCCTGGGACACCTGATAAACAGAAGAGAAAGTAGCCATACCATTTTCGAGCCATCCCTGCACGTGTTGCTCCTTGATCATCTGCAACCTCTTCTCAAATCCTCAACCGCTTCTGTGGAGAGCCTGCCATGGCACCTGCAAAGCAAGACGGATACCCTTCGCACTCACCTCGTGCTACTCGGCCGTTCTGCTCCAATCCAGCTCACAAACAGCCCGCCCTTCTCGTGCTGCTCTTCAGAGTGCAGCTTGGCCCCACTCAGCCTGTGCGACACACCTGTGAAACAAAAAGAAAAACATAGGCTGAAGCAGCATCCCAAAGCCACAGCACAGCTGGGACAGTTACTCTCATCTGCTGCCTTACATCTGCCCCCCTCACCTGCCCTCGAGGCAGATGCTTCCATCTGCTCTCTTAAGCCAGCTACAACACCTCTAAAATATAATCAGGATTTTTACTGTATTTGTGCAGTTAAGTAACTGCAGTGACAACTGCACCCCTAAAGTACCTGCTACATCTGTCCATCGCTCACCTTGCCAAAAGCAGCTCCGGTCAAGTCCCGTGTTGTACACTGTGTTTCACCTTAAACAAATGAAAACAGTCACAAGAGAATCATTCACCTGCCAGCATTAGCACCCATCCCTCAACAACACAAAGGGACCCCATTTACAACTATCGTTTCAAAACAGCAGCCCCCTTGCCTCAGCACCTCAGAAGTAGATCAAGCCAGTCACCAAGTTGCCTACCGAGTGCTGGACAGTTCCAGAAGGAGCTCCTTCCTGTGACAGGTTCCTCCTAGGGTTTACACTCTACTGGGGGCAGGAAAGAAAAATAAAAATTCAAAACCCCATATCTGTAAGCTTTCAAGATTCGACAGACCTCCTCAAGCACACCGTTTAAGCACTATGCACACAGCTGCTCACAAGCAGCTCAACTCTCCCAAATCCCCATCTGCCAACCTCCAGAGATGACTGTGCCAGCTGCCCTTCAGTACGTGCCCAGAGGCAGACCAGATGTCTTCGAAAACACAGTCCAGACAATGTATTAGTACACCCATGACCTGCCATGTTAATCACTAACTGCCAGGCAGGACAGCTCCAGACCAAACACATACACACACAAGCACGCCACGAACACTACAAACAAAACACACAACACGAGGCGCAAGAAAAAGTGACCCCAGAGGGAAGCCCTATGGCAACAGCAAGTCAGAACAGGTGCTCTACACCAGACCCAAGGAGACACTCAAACGTCTCAACATGTGACTGGAAGAACTGCCAGAACTGGGATGATGGAGGCCTAAAAAGCCTGCCTTCAAGACAAGAGACCAGAAGGATGGGGAGTGAAAACCCCCCTAAGAAGACACTGAGGAAATCAATTCCCAAGCAAAGGCTCCTGATGTGCCCCAGATGACTTCTGCAAGAGTGAGGATGGAAACAGATGTGATCTCAAACCGAATACAATGAACAAGACCTGAAACACATCTACACTTCAAGCAGCGACTGCAAGACAAGAAGTGCTCGGATCAGAGCCATGATGACAAAACAAGCATTGAGGCCCTTCAGCACAGCTACCAAGTCGCCTGTCTGGTCAGTCCAGTGTCAAAACCCATGAGGATATCAAGACCGAAGGAGACCATAACTCACAACACACACTGCAGAAGCAACACCACAAGACAGACAAACTGAAGGAAACTGTCCTGCCTGGCACACGCACTCACGCTACGAAATAATCCCGCTTGCTTCTATTAGCCTGGTGACCCAGCCACAAGCAGCCTGAACGTGACCCAGCCTGAAACACACTCACAGTGGCACCAAGTCTATTCAGCCAGCTGGCTCCATGCTGCTCTGGCTCCCAGCTCCCATTAGCCACCCCAGATATGCAAATACCAGGCGCCCCCCAACTTAGCTCTCAGGTTGTTGGATGGTAAATTCCTTCCACCTCAAGAAATACACAGGCACCGATTGTCATCTTAGTCAATTGCCAGGCTCATCATCAGCTGCAAAAAACAGAGTACCAGCATTCACTAGCACGTCGGCCATGATGCCCACCTTCTCCACAATGCTGACTACTGCTGATGCAACATACGGTTCTGCTCACCTGTTCCTCTCCGAAACCAAGCTCCAACAGTGCAGCCACTATCATCCACTCCACCTGGAAAAACAAAGGGATTAAATGATTGTTGCGTTCACAAGTGACCCAATGGTGGTTTTTTTCTGTTATTGTTTTTTGTGTGTGTTTCCTGTTTTGTTTTTTTTTTTTTTTTTGAAATCTGCTTTTACTCAACAGCATGCAGACGGCAGACAAGAAAACTGGGGTGTTTCTAGAAGCAACAATCCCCATGCTTTTGCTGCAGCTTTTAACATTGAAAGGACAACACGACCCAGCAAGTAACTGGAACCTTTTCAAATGGAATTAGCTCAACTTTTATTTGCATTGAAAGAAAAATCTAGGAGCAGAACAGATTATACACCAACAAAATTAATTCCATTCCACCCCCGGGAAAAAATCACATCTCTCATCCCCTCCTGTACCTCAGCCGATTGCCTGCCCCACCTGGCAGATGCTTCCATCTGTTCTCTTCACCCCACTTATAGCGCCTCTTAAATGCAAACTGGAATTGTACTCTATTGGATGTAGGAAAATAACTGCAGTGAAAACCGCACCCCAAAAAACAACAGTTACCTCTGCTCATCACGCACCAGAGTCACTGCAGAGGCAGCTGGTTGAGACATCCTGCACTGCACACTGCATTGCAGCCTGAAAAAGGAGAAAGGCAGGAAGAATATAACATTCAGCTGCCAGCAGTAGCACCCATCCCTCAACAACATAAGCAACCCCATCTTACTTTTATCCTTTCAAAACAGCAGGCCACTTGCCTCTGTACCTGCCAATTAGGTCCAAGCTTGGAAAGGAGCGGCCAGCATCATCCACACTCCCTGGGAGCACAAAAGGACAAAACAACCACTGTGCTATGCAAGCAGCCACCTGCCACGCTGCTCCTCTATCCCAAACAGCCTCACCTCGGACCCTCTGAGGGAAACACCTGAGTGTCTTCCCTTTGCCTTCGGATAAGGCCATGACCAGGCTGAACAACACTCACCCTTCCCTCAGTGCTTCGTGACATGAGGATTTCCCTTCCCTGTCCACGACTGCACAAAGCACCTGCAAAGACAGGAGAAAAGCACACCTCTGAGGCACCTCACAGCCACAAGCGTACCTGCTGCAATGCCTCTCTTCCCAGCTCCGGTACTTCAGCTGCTCACCAGCTATAACTGAGATTCTTCGCTCACAGCACCACAGCAAACTCTGCCCGGGCCACACAACACACAGTACACAACCTACATTGCTTAAGACACACAAGCTGGTACATTCCGCCCAACAATCAGTTGCATTGCACAGGAAGGATGCTTCATATTCCTAGAAACCAAACCTACCAGTCCTGAGGAGCTCCCCACCTCCTCCTGCCAACCACGCTCAGCAAACACGCTATTTGCCCCTCAAAAAAAAAAAAAAAAAACTTTGAACATACACACACACACAAAAAAAAAAACAGAGCTCCATAAATGCCAAAAAGACATGCACACACAGCAGCCCAGGAAGGGGTAGTCACAGACTTACGCAGATGAAAGAGGTGACTCTGATACAACCCTGCTCAGTCTCTTAGTAATGCTGCATCTACACTGCCAAGCCACATGTAGCATGCAGTCAAGCTGGTTTTAGTCCTCTGGAGAGTTACACAAGTGGGTTTATACATCTAGATATTAAAATATAGCTCAAAAACAGAAGAGTATCCCACCATCCCAAAAAAACAGTGAGCCAGCAGCCCCTACTAAACATCCCTCTACTAAGTGAATTCCAAGCACTTAAAATCCAGAAATCCATAGGCTCCAGCCTGCCTAGAGAACCCTGCAACTGACTGAAGGAAAAGCAAAGCACTTACCCCAGAGAGCAGCCCAGGCAGAAGGAGCTCTCTGATGGCATGCCTGGGGCTCATATACCTTTTGTCCCCACCCAGCACCCAAACGCAATCACCTGGGAAAGGGGAGGGGCAAAGCACAAGAAAGTAGGAAGAGAGCAAAAGAAGCAGCTGTTTTTTTTTTCCTTTGTTTTTTAAAATCTGTTTTATCTCAAAAAAAATCAGAGAGCAGACAAGAGACCTGTGGTGTTTCTAGAAGCAAAACTCCCCTTTTGCTTTTGCTGCAGCTTTTAATGTTGAACTGATAATGTCACCAGGCAAGGTACTGAAACTTCTTCTAACTGGAATTAGTTTAAACACACTCACCGTCATCTGCAAACACTGAGAACCAGCATTCACTAGCCCTTACCCTAACCCCAACCCTCACCCTAAACTCTAACCCTAGCCCCAGCCCTAGTCCCTAACCCCAACCCTAGTTCCCGAGAACTTCATTTCCAGGCACGCTATGGGCGCGCAACACGGCCTCCCGGAAGTCCCGACTCCAGAACTACATTTCCCAGTATGCTCTGGGCACTCAACACGGCCTCCCGGAAGTTCGGAGTCCCAGAACTACATTTCCCGGAATGCTCTGGGCACCCAACATGGCCTCCCGGAAGTTCGGAGTCCGAGAACTACATTTCCTGGAATGCTCCGGGCACCCAACATGCCCTCCCGGAAGTTCGGAGTCCGAGAACTACATTTCCCAGTATGCTCCGGCACCCAACATGGCCTCCCGGAAGTTCGGAGTCCCAGAACTACATTTCCCGGAATGCTCCGGGCACCCAACATGGCCTACCGGAACCTGGTGACGGAAAACTACACCTACCAGCATTCCCTGCACAGCCGGCACGGCCAATCAGAGGCCGAGTTTTCAACATCTATATTTAACAGCACTCACTGTAGCCCTAGCCCTTACCGTCCTTACACAAAAAAGCCTCAATCCCTAACTCTAAAAATCCTCTGAAACCTCGACAGACCTAACCCTAACTATTTACCACGCTAAACCCCTGAAGACCTATGCCTAAAACCCCTAACCCAATAAATTAAACGCTCAATTCCCAAACCCACAAATTAAGACGCTCAAATCCCAAACCCCAAAAAATAGGACGCTCAAATCCCAAACCCCCTTCCGAAAAAGAAAATAAGAAAATAAATCAAACAAAACAAAAACAACAAAAGGGGTAGACCTGGTGGCATCTGCCCTGTAACCCTGCAAAAATTACGAGGGACCTAGAACAACAAAGCAAACACATAAAATAACATTGACATCCTATCCATAAATGTGCTATAACAATTAATCACCTCAAAAGATCTTCATGCAATAAATGCACATACTACTAGATTGGTTCTCTCTAAAAGATTGACATGACTCTGACCCACCAAAAGAACCCTGCATGTAGCTAACAGAAGAATAAACAAAGCACCGACCCCAAAGAGCAGCCCAGGCAGAATGAGCTCTCTGATAGAATGCCTGGGGCTCCTATAACATTTGACCCTGCCCAGCACCCAAACCCAATCACCTGGGAAAGGGGAGGGGGCAAAGCACAAGAAAAAGAGCGGGAGCAGCAGCAGCTGTGTTCTTTTATTTATTAATTTATTTATTCCCCTATCCCTAGTTTACAGCATGCGGAGTGCAGACAAAAAGAACTGCAGTGTTCTCTAGAAGCAAAATTTACCGTATTTACGCCTCAGCTTTGAACACAGAAAGGACAATACAACAAAGAAAGTAAATGAAATATTTTCAACGGGAATTGGTCAAACCTTTAATTTACATATGAAGAAAAATCAAGGAGCGTAGGAAATTATACATCAAAAAAAAAAGAGACGTAATAAGCAACGCCCATGCGCAGCCGCCGGCCGCCTGCAGTACTCTTTTTTCCGCCAGCAGGTGGTGGCAGAGGGCTCCCGGGGCGCCACCGCGCATGCGCGGCCGTTTGCCGCATGCAGTACCCCTTTCCCACCAGCAGGTGGCGGCAGAGGGCGCCGCGGGCGCCATCGCGCATGCGCGCCACCCGGCCGTTTGCAGTACCCATTTTCCACAGCAGTGGCAGCAGAGGGCGCCCGGGGCGCCCGCCCATGCGCGCCGCGGCCGCCTGCAGTACCCCTTTCCCACCAGCAGGTGGCAGCAGAGGGCGGCCGCCGGCCGCCTGTAGTACCAATATTCCACCAAAAGGTGGCGGCAGAGGGCGCCCGCGGGCGCCATCGTGCATGCACGGTCGTCGGCCGCCTGCAGTACTCTTTTTCCGCCAGGAGGTGGCGGCAGAGGGCGCCCGCGGGCGCCACCGCGCATGCCCGCCCGCGGCCGCCTGCAGTACGCGTTTTCCATCAGCAGGTGGCGGCAGAGGGCGCACGTGGCCCTCCGCACGTGCGCAGCGCCCGCCCGTGTGCAGTACTCGTTTTCCCACCAGCAGGTGGCGGCAGAGGGAACCTGCGGGCGCCACTGCGCATGCGCGCCCCCCGGCCGTCTGCAGTACTGGCTTTCCACCAGCAGGTGGCGGCAGAGGGCGCCCGCGGGCGCCACCGCGATTTCGCGGCGCCCTTCAACCTGCAGTACCCACTCTCCACCAGCAGGTGGCCCCGCTAGAGCGGCAGGCACGGCTTTGCACGTTTTTCCCGACAAAGGACGAAGGATTAAAGCATAAATTTGCACCCTCGGCCCTTTCAGGGAGCACGTTATCTGCCTTGTGCAATGTGCTTCTCGCGACTGGGAGCGGTGGCAATCTGAAACTTTTGTTTTTTTTTTTTTCTTACCTGCAGCCCACAGCCCGAAGAGTACACTAACAGACTGCAGGATGCCACACGCTCTGTCCTCTAATCCTGTGTTACACGCCGTGGAACTCCCTCTCAGCTTCCCTACCACCTCCCCCTTGCCTCCTGCCCAGCTTCCCACTTTCGCAGGTGCCACCTCCGGCATCACCAAGAGCAGTGCTAGGGCCTGGCCTGGCTCTCAGCTTTCCCCTCATCTTCTCCTCCTGAGTCTAAAAAAATAGCAACGTTCCTTGGAAAGTAGAAGTATCCTCAGAGTGAAGAAGGAGCACAGCCCTGGGCTCCCACACACAAGTCTGGAGCCCTGCCAGAACCAGTCCCTGTTAGGGTCCATGGCAACTGCAGCCCCCCCTGCACTGCTCTGCCACTGCCTCACACCTGTGCCACAGGGTGAGTGGTGCCACCCAACAATGTTTAACTGTGCTCTCTCCCTGAGTGAGGCCTGCCTGCTGCTGGCGTGCTGCTCCCAAGGCCCAGCTCTCGTGCTAGGGGGCTGCCTCCTCTGATCAAGATTGCATACAACAGCCATGGGGACAAATGACTTTTTACTTAGATGTGAGTTACAAAGGCGCTTTACCAGCAAAGAACAACAGACAGACTTGCCTTATACATGTAGCTACTTTCATCATAAATACAAGGGTGTAAAGCAAAGCTAAGCCACCAATAAATTATAAAATACATATAACTCAGTGCTGTGACTGAATCTTTTAATAGTTTTTTCTCTAGTTTGATAGTGTTAGCAAAAATGAGTATACTCCTTCCATTTTTTAAAATTATTTTCAAGCAAACATTTTTTTTTCCAATTTTTGCCAATTCAAGGCAAGAGGTAAGTATTATAGAGTCACCTGTTAAGGATGTTTTCCTTGATTAGAATAAGGTAACTGCTAATACCTCATTACCTTGTTCCCAAATCTGACCACAGCTGTAGTTTAAAAAATATATATTTGAAGTGTTTTATTTAGAAAAAAAATGGAGGAATCAATCTCTGTGATTCAAGAGCTTGCAGACTACAGCTGCATTTTCTTAATAATATTTAATAATGTTCCACCATTATTCTCACCATCCCGAGATCAAAGGAATGTAATTTTTAAGTCCTTCTATGATACAGCAAATTCAGAAGCAGCTAAAGAAAAAAAAAAAAAAAGTCAAGACCTTTATCCCATTACACATCTCTTCTTCCGATAGCAGTGGAAATCCAGTTCTGAAGTCTCCCTCTTTCAGATGATCTGCACTGTAAAGATCTACCTTCAGTTTGATATGTAAGGATGTTGTTGTTGTTATTGGGTTGGACCCCGCATGCATCAACATTAAAATATCGTATTTAATACAGTCTAGATGTTAGCAGGTTAAAAGACGTAAGTGCTTATTAAAGGATTACAGAAAAATTATCCTCAGGAATGTAACCATTTCAAATATTGTGAGTGGCTTTTATAAGCAAAGATCTAAGCCAATGAACTAGTGCTTACATAGATCAAGATAAGGCAGTTCAACTTCACTCAGTAATCTGAAAAAACAGTGAAAGTGACACTTGAGTAACTTCAAATTTGCAATTAAGTGTTATGTCCCTTCTAAAAAAATGGAAATACTAAGAAGAAAACAGGGGTGGAAGAAGGGGCAGAACAAACAATTAGTTTAGGATTGGATTTATTTATTTAAGAGTCTCCGTATTTTTATTGAATCTAGCAGAACAGGCAGCACCACCACTGCTGTGGTGAAAAATCCACTAAATAGTAAAACAAATGGGGACCTCGATAGAGCTAGAAAAAAATTAACTTTTTAAAGACTGACCTATTTAAGATAGTTGTCTTCCCCCAAGGGAACTTTTTGACAAGTCTGCAGGTTGAGCTTAACATTTATTGAATCAGATAGAGATATATGGAACATTGCTCTAAACTAAAAAAAAATACATTTTAAATGCTTTGCAAGCAGCACTAAAAACTAACATCTTAAGATTTTTTCAGTTTCCCCTCCCAAAAGGCTTCTTTTCATCCTTATGCAGTAATAAATGTCCTCCACAGTCCTTCTATGTAATGGGCCATCTGTAAATTATTATATAGTGTCATTAAGAGAAACAAATGAAGAAAAATAAGACACTAAAGCTGTTCTATGTGTCTATAACACATAATCGTGAGTAGTTCAGCAACCATATGACACAATGATTCTCCAGACCCTATGCGTTCTCAGCAACTGGCTTGCTGTCATCACTGCCACAAGCTCACAAACAAATGGATTACCTGGACTTCAACCATTTTTTCATTGCAGTCATTGCTGTTAGAGAGTAACTGGAGTCTGAATACAATCTCTAACTTTTTTCCTTCATGAGGCAAATCAATAAATCAATTGCTCTATAGTGCCATCTTTCTCTTTGTACACATAACCAGAATACGAGACTTATAAAGAACATGATTAGGCAAATAAAGCAGCCCTAAGTTTATCCTAATAATAGTTTAATCCCCAGTGCCATATAAAAATACATTCTCAGGGGACCTTCCAAGTAGAACATAAAGGTCATAAAGGTACAAGAAGCAACGCACTACAGACTCAGTCAGCACTGTCAATTCACAAGAGGTTCTTAGTCCTTTGTCATAATACATTTGATATATTTTAGCAAGGTATGGGCATATACTGATGCATAGCTAAATCATTACAAGTCATATATGCAGGTTTCTATTTGTCTCCCCTTTCACAGACTTGCCAGCAGAGGTCAGTTACTTTCCATAGAATTTCTTGTTCAGAAGAAAGATCAGAAGGTTGACATTTACTTTTGCTCTGTCAAACAACTTCATGACTGCAACGCCTTCATACTGCAGCTGCAAAAGATCCTGTCAAAGAGAATACACTTATGAGTGAGTAATCCTCAACAGCTTATGACTATACAAGACCCTGTGAAACAGTAAGCTTTTGAGGAATACCTATCACAAAGCACGTGGCATAAGCTAGAAAAACAAGCAAGCTAAAGACCAAATCATCGAGCAACATATTTTGCTATTTTGCATGCGCTAAGACTTTTCAGATCTTTAATCTGTGCTTACAGAAAATAAAAACTACAAAAGGACAGAATTAGAAAGCAATTCCAAGAAAGCTGTATTTCAGATCTGGACATCATCAGGCTTTTCATTCGCGTAACAGCCACGAAGTTTAATTTTCAAAAAGGGTCTCACTTCCATATGCCTAATGTTATCACGTACCCATGAAACATTAAAGCATTCCACCGTATGGCTTTCTAAAAAGCCTATCTGCCATAGACCTCTGTGAGGCAGTTTAAAACAGCAGTTTAAGTCAGAGAAATAAACAGCACCTCCATTAGTAATAAATACATGATGCTGATTCCAGCTCTCCAGTATTTATGCAGTGTTTCTAGCTGCACTTTCCTCTTGTCTGTGACACACATGACAAAGCATTAAGACTACCTGCACTGATTCATCTCAGCAATGAATTTCTTTCAGCAGCTCTCACTCTTGACCACCACATACTGGAGAAGGTGTTCAGGTTGTGCTACCACAAAGAAACGTTGCGTGTTTTCTGAAATATGAACTTGCCTCCTGCAGCTGTAGAGTCTGGGTGATGCTGGAGTAAATATCAGAAAACTATTTCTGCTACTTTCTATAAAATCTTGGCAACGCAAGCAAAGCCATTGCTAATGCTGTATTTGGAAAAGCAATGGCAGCTTCCTCATTACTCCCTCTCAACATCTGCTGTTTCTGAACAGCAGTTCTACAAAGACACATCAGTACAGCAACACGTGCTTGAGGACTGAGCAACCTGAGGTAGCCACATGAACAAGAGTTTGTGACCAGCTTCAATGGATTAGAATTGGAATGAGCTACAGGTGTTCTTAGAGAACACATATGGGATATGCAAGACAGCTGTCCCTTCCAGCAGCTGATTACCAAGTGTGACACAGATTTATCTGGGTGTAGGAGCTCCCTACACAGTGTAATCTGTTTCAAGATCCCTGAGACATCCACGATTAACATACCTAACGATTCCTGGGGACCAGGTTTTGGCAGACACACAGATGTAGGCAGAGATGACAGACATAACAGTACCAGTGCAGGAAGAAGAATGGAAACCATGCAGCACCAGTTCAGTCTGCATTCCTGTTTGGTAGCTTTGCGTAAATAAAGGTTGAGGATTCTCTAGCTAAATTAGCCAGTAGCTGCAAGGTGGCAGAAAGACTACCCGTAAGTTACAAGTAGCTGATGTCAACACACCCAAGCCTAGCTGACTGCTGACACAGTCTCCTGATCTTTCTGCTACAGCAGAAGGCTGTTGAAAGTGCTCATGCACGTACATATATGTGCACATACATAAGCGTAGCTAGGAATACAGATCAAGATCAAGCCTTCATTAGTAAAGAAACAAATTAGTCTGAATACTCCATTTGCATTGCATCTGTTTTACTTGATCATCTGTTTTTGAGACAGCTTTTCACACTGTTCAGGCAGAAAGTATGTCATTATTAAACAGGATAGTTCTTACCTGATAATGTAACATAAACGTTTCCATCTGTACCCCATGAATTTTGCTTTTACCTCAAAATCTCCTACTTCTTCTGTTGGACTGATTTCAAATATCACATTTTTAAACCTGTATATTTGAGAAATTAAAAATCACAGTTCATTACTAAACATGCAGTTCCTAATGACATAATTATCCGAAGATAATTTTTTAAGAATTCTATTCGTAACTTCTAATTCTATCTCCATTCGGAATGAGGCCATAAAAGCCAACGAGACCAAAAAAAGCCAACAACAAATAGAAACCTAACAGTTTTATGTCTGGGAGATCACATCTTCATGCAAGCACAACCCACTTCAGCGCACGCACATCCACACCCCATTTAGTGCAGAGTAAAAATCATTCAATTCAGGGTCGAAAAAGAATTAGTAACAGGCCACTTGTCTATAACCTGCAAAAAACAGACCAATTTCTCAAGGCTAGCTAAATGCATCTGAACAAACTCAGGCTTGCGTTAAGCTGTTTTTTCAGCAGTGAGAGTTATTAACCATAGTAGCAATTCACCTAAGGAGGTTCCCTTCCATGAATGGGAGTGTGGGGCTGCAGGGGGGAAGATGGTATCATCTTTAAATCCTGTTAAACTTCTCTACCAGCGATCTGCTCCTGTTTAACCAGAAATAAGAGAACTCCTAAGTGACCGATCAATACAAGGTTTCTTGGCCCTGTGTTTTGTCTGTGTAGTCTGGCAATGTCTTCACCTTTAATAGCTAAGTCTGCCAACAATGCTAACCACTAGGCGGCCTGTCACCAACTCAGACAAATCTCAGGATGAACGGAGTGCAAAGACTCCTTGTAGCTCCAAAAAGAATTCCATTCATCAACTGTGAGCACCAAGACAAGTTTTAAGAGAATGCAACAATCCCAGAAAAAGAGGGAAACGGGTAAGCTATTTCGCTCTTATGAGTCATAAAACAACACTCACTGGTTAACTTGCAGGTCCTCAATCTCTAAAAGCACTCCCTTCTCATGAAGTCGAGCTGCTGTATATTTTAGTGAAATCTTTTTACTACTTTTGCCTTTCATCTCCCTAGGCTTCTTCGAGACCCTGGAAAAAATGATGTACAGTCAAACAAATAAAGAGAAGTCAGACAGCAAACATTTAATCCTATTTGGGTGAGTAGCTAAAACCAGTACAGCTGATCAACTATGATTAACATGGCCGATAGACAATATATTCCTACTAGTAAGTTTATCTACAAAGCATTTGTAGCTCTAATCAGATCTTCTGACAATTTACCAATAACTTACACTACAGGAGCAGAAAATACAACACTTCATAGAAACAAGTATTATTTATCATTAGGCAAAAGAGAATGTTCTTATGGTTAACTGGTACTCTGAAAATGGACCGGTAAGTTACTTTGACACACACAGAAACAAAAAAAAGTGCAATTAATGATATGATCCAAGATTACACATGCTACATATATTTAAGTATGATCTGTGGCCCTGATAGATTTAGGCTGTTTTTCATCTCACCTCCTGTTCAATCTCAGTGTACTGACCACACGTTCAATGGACGAGCCATTACAGTTGCCCATCTTGACCCATGAAACTACTCATTACCCTGCTACCCTGCTGTCACTGCGCTGGAGTTAAAATTTTCTGTGTGTCTGAGAAAACAGAAAGACCTGGCCTACCTTTCATTTCAGATTCTATTTTAAACAAGGGTGTCTAATGCCAGCAATTTCAGCTAATATATATATATTTATTTATTTAATTTATTTTTAACAAATCCGTACTTCACACCCTTTCCAACAACAAACCACAGTCGTCCAAACCCGTATCTGAAGTTTCCTCAAAACGGGAAGTTACTTCTGCAGCATGTTCAGAGGAAAAATGGGAGAATGCAAACAAACCCAGTTATTTTAAAAAATGTTCTTAGCCTAGTAAGGACGATGCCAATCCTTGTCAACATAAAGAAGAGAAACTGGGAAAGTAGACTTTTTTTTTTTTCAGGAAAATTGAATTGTCTTGCACCACTCCCTCTGGGACAAAAAGAGGACAACTCATGATCAGTGCTGTCATTGTAAGTAACTATGCTGTTTTCATTCTCTGCTCCAAGAAAGGACGATAGGACAGACTGACTAAGCAGCATATGCATTATCTGGGCAAACCACCCCCATTCTCTCTGGCCTCTCTACGCTTCCCTCACTCAAAGGGACAAAATTCTTTCAAATATGTCTTTTTGACCCCATTTGGGACACCACCACTCTCCCTGTACTCCCCACCACTGCTGAGACCCTTCCCCGGAACCCACCTTTGCAGTGAAGAGCCTAGCCAATGAGCTTTGTGCAGATGACATTACAATTCTTTTTTAGCAAGGACCTACACATGTTCTTTCTGTAAGGAGCATTTCTAGGGTCACAAGCATAGTTCTGAGATACTTACTTGCCCTTGCTAGCCAGGTTATCCAAGCAGGTTTTTATGTAGCTTTTGTAATAATCCACTTGTTTGGTGCCTTTCCGGTGTGTGTAGTCTCTCAATTTGTGAAGAAAACGTCCGTTGATATATTGAAGGTGTTTTCAAGTGCTATTATTGCAACAACTTTCGACAGTAAAGGAAACAATGTAGTTTTTCTAAGGTCTGTTATGTCGGGAAAAAATGCAAAGCCGTAGTAGTCATGAACATAGAGAATGATGTAGTATATAAAATCTTTTTTTGCTTGACAGGGGAAGGGTCTGGCAACGTTAATGACCCCAACAGGGAGATGCTAGCAAAGACAGAGGTTTCTCTCACGCTCACTAATAAATTTGATGTTCCTGGTGATGAAAATGCAGAGATGGATGCAAGGACAATTCTGCTGAAGTAAGTGAAAGATAAACTACCCAGTATGTTTCTCAAGAGAAGGGGAAGAGTAGAACCTGAATTTTTACAGCTAATCTGCATGTGAAAGTAGGAGAACTGAAGTTTAAATCAAGCAAATGTGGTACTGTTACTCAAAATGCATTGAACTTGTAGCCATGTTGTTTAAATGCTGTGGCTTTTACACTTGTTCTTGATAGTCCTTTGTCACTGTAGAATTTGTCACTCTTTAAAAGCGTATCTTGGATGATTTCAGAGGGGAAAACATTCCAGAACAGAAAGTATTCCAGTTGTGAGCAAGTGTGATGATGACAGCAGTTGGATTTATTCATTGTAAATAACTCATAGCATTCATCACAATTTACTTTTACCTCTGAGGTTTATTGATGTAAAATTAAGATTGCCTATATAATGCTCTTTGTGTATTTTTTCAATAGAATACATGTGACATAAGGAAATGCTATGTGTAACTGAATGCCTAGCATATGTGATGCTGTACTGCTGAAATTGCTAGTTCTTATGGAATTTGCTGATTTATATAGCCTTTGAGTAGACTAAGTCTTTATCCTGTTAGCGAAGTGGAAGACAGTGATAGTGTCTATGTAGCTGAGCAAACTCATCTAGTGGGTGATGCCCCTGCCTATGACAGGGGGGTTGGAACTATATGATCTTTAATGTCCCTTCCAACCCGAGCCATTCTATGATTATGATACGTGTGATGCCGCTCACCTTTTTTGGTTTATGATGCTCTTTTGTACCCTCTGCATTCTCTGTCCCAGACTTGACTCTGATAGAGGAAGACTAATAACTTTTTGGGAAATGGAGGTGTTTGTAGACTGATCAAAGTAGTGCGTTGAATAGACAGTGATTTCATTATTGCCAGATTTTTTTTAAATTTTATTTTTAAATTGGGAGGACTTAATATTGACTCTTCGCCAGTTTTAAGCAAATCCCTGTTGCTGGGATTTCTAGAGCAACTACCTGGCATGCAGTTAGGCATTCACCACCTCAGATGCATTCCTGCTCAGATTCTAGATAGCTTAACAGAGAATTCTGCAGATCTGCTTACACTTGGCCTAGATGGAGCAACGATCTCTTAGAAAAGAATTTTATCTCCAAAAAATAACGTTAAATTACCTGGGTTCCTGTGGTGGTTTTACTTAGGTGGGCAGTTGAGCTCCACCGCAACCTCTCTCACTCTCCCTCTCCTCAAAGAGGAAGGGGGAGAAAATACAACACAGAGAACTCAAGGTTTGAGGTGAGAAAGGTTTAATTAAAGTGGAAAGGGAATGGGGAGAAAAAGAAACAAAAGAAACAGTAAGTCTGCACGGAAGCACAGAGAGAAGGGAAAAAAATTATTCTCTACTTCCCATCGACGAGCAATGTTCGGCCGTGTCCTGGGAAGCAGGGCCTCAAAACGCATAGTGGTTGTTCAGGAGGAACAGCCCCCTCCCCCACAAGAGCCCCCCTTTTTATTGCTGAGTGTGACATCAGGTGTTATGGAATATCCCTTTGGTTGGTTTAGGTCAGCTGCCCTGGCGATATCCCCTCCCCATCACTTGCCCACCTCCAGCCTGCTGGCTCCTGGGGGCTTGGAAGGAGTCCTGATGCTGTGCCAGCACTATGCAGCAAGAGACACAACACTGGAGTGATATCAGTGCTGTTTCAGCTACGAGTGCAGAGCACAGCACTGTGTGGGCTGCTGCAGGGAAAGGTGACTCCAGCTCAGACAGACCCAACACAGTTTCTTGAAAGATATGCCGGTATTTCCGTATCCACCAGAAGGTGACATTGATTTCAGAAGTAAAGATTTATCACACATACATGCTTGAAGTCATCTAAGATGTGAATGGTAAGGAAGGTGTTGATGCAGTTCGCATTATGCCAGAAACAATTCCAGCCTGATTACAAATTACTGAAGGCACAATTTGGTACTGTCATTTGCCTCAGGGACAGAATTGTCTCAGGCTAGGCATTGGCTGTGGTTAAGTCACAGATCTCGATCTTTGATCCTGAGATCAAGGAATGACTGTTTGTTATTAAATTAGAGACGAGTACCCACTTTGGTTCAGTTAGCATACATGGGGGAAAAAAAAAAGTCCCACGGAGTGCTTTTGCTACTTGTTACAAAGCACTGAGGTGCACTTTTGGAATCAGTTTCCAAACTTTTCACTGATAAAACAATCTCAAAAAAAGTAAATCAATTACCAGAGTTCTGGTCTGGTCTAATTTACGTCTGGCTAAGTGCATCCAGTGATGATATGACTTCAATGTAAATAAGTATAACTGTTGTTATTGCAGAGCAATATTGAAGGTCTTCGGGCTTAAACTTTTAATCTCCTGTCTCCTCGGTTTCTCTGCAGCACAAAACGCTTAATTGTTGATGTAATCCGCTTCCAGCCAGGGGAGACACTGACTGAAATCTTGGAAACTCCAGCTACATCAGAGCAAGTATGAAGAATTTGTTTCACCGCGTTCTTTTTAGACTGAGAAATTGTTTTTATCTAGATTAATGTGGGTATACTTGGTAATCTGCATTATGTATTGTTGTGAAGTTGTCTCTGCTGATGTTGGAGCAGCATGTAACAATAACGAGGAAGGAATGTAATGGAAATAAATTGTACGTGTCAATCTTAGTCCTCTGAGAGTTGCCAGAAAATAGGTATCTAGAAGACTTCCAAACAGTAGGTAGATTTCTACTGGTTCCTGTATGTGGAATGTGTTCATCAAACATGGATTCATCAGAGTCAGTACCAGAATGACTGAGTAAAATTCTTATCCAGTTATGTCAGAGTTGTCAGGTGACCTGATTCTAGTTCTTTGTCACCTTAAAAAAATGAATCTGCTAATGAGCTTCTAATTTCCTGTTTTTCTAGGAAGCAGAGCATCAAAGAGCTATGCAGAAACGGGCCATTCGTGATGCCAGAACTCCTGATAAGATGAAAAAATCCATGTCTGTAAGGGAGGACAGCAACTTAAATCTTCAGGGAAAAAAGAGAAAATCAAGACAGGCCTGAAGAAGCTGACAGAACTGGGGATAGTGAATGCAAAAAATAAATACCAGGAACTAATCAATGACATTGCAAAGGTATGCCAATTGGTGGTTTCCTAGTCAGAGTTGATTTTTTTTTTCCACAGTTTGCAGTGTTGGGAAACTGGCATGGAGTTTTCAGGAGGTATAAGTTTTGTAGTAGGTAGACATACAAAGCATACCCTTTGCTGCAGTGTTTCCACCTCTTCACATTTCAAAATTCCTTTATTTTTATGAGAATTTTTATGTTTTCTTAAATGACTGTGTTACCAGAATCTGAGATACCTTAAGAAAGTGTTACAGTGCCTCTACAAACTTTATCATGCATGGAAGTTTTTGCCCATAACCTAAATATTTTTTTTTTTTAATATATCCATTCAAGAATACCTAAAATAATGCTGAAGTGGGAAGTTAATAAAACGACTTGTGGAAGAGAGATAATGCTGTTGTATGTTGCTATGTTGATAATGCATTTTATTATATCATACGTTTGACAAAACATTGTGTAGGAAAGATTATGTGTGTAAAGTGAATGAATTGTCACACGTAGAGACCAGATTAAGTATCAGAAATGAAAACAGAAGTTGACTTGAACATGTGATGTTTTTTTATTCAGCTGCTCATGTAACTTGCTTAAAAATAACTGACTGACAAAGAAAGATGAGGAAGTCTATACGCTGCTATGGTTATAGTTTTTGCTTTGTAAGGTACCCTTCTTACCTGGTGGAGGCAAAAATTGCTGCCTTCCTTAGATTGCATACTATAACACTATTAACATACACTATGACAGCATTGAAATTTGAGAAAGCAACAAAAGGTTAGAATGAACTGCTGTGTAGACGGAGAAGCAATGACACAAACTGAGACAAGTGTGTCTGAGGAATCTTACTACAACTTGTATTCTGAAGGAAGGCTAAATAAGATCAGTGCATCTCAGTATGTCTCAGTGCTCTGGGCTCGAGCAGCCAGAGAGCTTCAATAACCAGTAGGTCTCTGCATATCTTGCTCTATGCTGTAGGATATCCGAAATCAGCGTAGATACCGTCAGAGAAGAAAGGCAGAATTGGTAAAGCTGCAGCAGACGTACAGTGCCTTGAATTCCAAAGCTACCTTTTATGGGGA